TTTTTTTTTTTTTTTTTTTTTTTTTTTTTTTTTTTTTGGTGCTAGTGTACTGTTCACATCTTCATGGTTAAAAATTCTTCGTTAATCACAAACTCCTTATGACCAACCTGATTCGAAGGCTTGTGGGAGAGTTTCCTCTACCCCAATCCAAGATAACTGGAGCAGATTCAATAGCAAGGATATTCACCCCGCAGCTAAAGCAGCAGATTCTATTATGGGCATGAATGTACAACCTAAAGGCTCGCAAGTTTTTTTCCTCTACTTCCCACCGTGGCAGCCTAACTATAAAGCGTAAGTATGATGTATTTTTTTCCCAAACTTTTAAATAACACAGTTTCTCAATGAAAAACTTCAGTAGACCCACAAGGAAGCCTATTCTTGTAAAAAGTAATAGGATTCCAAACAAAAGTGCTTTCATGAATTCATCACATTGGAGAATCAATGGGCAACCCCCACAATTTCAGTGGACCAACTTTGAAAGAACAGTCAGAAAATAATACATTTAAAATGATCGATTAAGCACGAGATAACTTACCAGCTAATTGTGTCTGAACTCTTCGTAACTCAAGCTATTCGATACACTGTCCAACCTTTTACCATCTTTAAATACGAAGAAATTTTAAGTCAATAACCACCTGTTGAATATTACAAGCAACGATCAACAGATATAAAAAATCATTACCAAGACGGTCTCCATTCTCACAAGTATCAAGGATGTTATCAGCTTCTGTTGGTAAAAAAGGACATCTGCCATAGCTCTCTAGTATATCTGAAGTTCAAAGTAATGTTGTTAAAACCCATAATACATCTATATGGTTCTGGTCCACTCGCTCTCCCTCGGGAAAGAGTTCTGAATTCATTTATTTAGAAATCTTCTTGAACATCTCTTAGAACTGAAAATTAAGAGACTAATTCATTCTAAATTAAACTGACATAGGAAATGAGAAAAAAAATGTACCTGAACCCTGAGAAAAGTCTGCTGTCAGATCTGAGAGACTAAAATTCCTGGTAATTTGATTAATGAACCCAAATGAAGAGGGATCCGGATCGAGTAGCGATTCGTTGAAGGATGGTGTGTTGGAATCAACACTAGCAAAAGATGCAACTGATGCATTACCAATTGATTGACGTGCATCAAGGATGTTGCCCTCTGTTCCGAACATGTAGGGAGAACTGTTTGAATATCCAGTTTCTACTTTGATCATCCCGCCATTCATTCCTTGAAACAGACCCATATTTGAGCTCTGAGGCGCAGCATCGTTCCTGGCATGAGAAGACATGTCCACGGCAGTGTGCATGGTTGAGTGTACAGGTTGGGTACCATTAGAATATGCATTGCCTAAGCTGACACCAACAGGGTAGTCTATGTCATCTTGTTTCAAAGCAGGTCCTGTATGCTCTGGTGCGTAGCAGCTCTGGTGTACTGTTCAAACAAGGTACATTGAATTGACAAACTCCAAATAACAGTTATGGAATGAAAACCTCACACGATCATCAATATATAAAAATGGTTATAGATCCCGTGGAATAGAAAATCTGCATCAGTATGAATCACATATTGACAACGTCCGATGCTTGATAGATAATAATTTCATGAAGCATTTCGTAAGATGCATAGAAGAAACTCTAACATCACAAGATTAGTTTCCACCTTGTAACAGCCCACCCACCGCTAGCAGATATTGTCGTCTTTGGGTTTTCCTTTTCGGGCTTCCCCTCAAGGTTTTTAAAATGCGTCTTCTAGGGAAAAATTTCCACACCTTTATATAGAATGTTATGTTCCCCTCTCCAACCGATGTAGGATCCCACAATCCACCCCTCTTCGAGGCCCAACGTTTTGGCACTCGTTTCCCTTTTCAATCGATGTGAGATCTCACAATCCACCCCCCTTCAAGGTCCAGCATCCTCGCTAGCACACCGCACGGCGTCCACCCCCCTTTGGGATCACCATTCTCGCTGGCACACCATCCAGTGTCTGGCTCTGATACCATTTATAGCAGCCTAAGCTCACCGTTAGCAAATATTATCCTCTTTGGGCTTTCCCTTGCGGTTTTTAAAACGCGTCTGCTAGGGAGAGGTTTCCACACCCTTATAAAGAATGCTTCGTTCCCCTCTCCAACCGATATGGGATCTCACAATCCACCCCCCTTTGGGACTATGATACCATTTATAACAACCTAAGCTCATCGCTAACAAATATTGTCCTCTTTGGGTTTTCCCTTTCGAGTTTCCCCTTAAGGTTTTTAAAACGCGTCTGCTAGAGAGAGGTTTCCACACCCTTATAAAGAATGCTTCATTCCCCTCTCCAACCAATATGGGATCTCACAATCCACTCCCTTCAAGTTCATTAGAGAAAAAGGTTTTTGAATATCGAGAACTATAATTTGTAACAATTAAAGTTTGAAGTGACTGAATCAATGTTGATCCACAAATTATAGAAAGTGGCTGTGTAAATAAAACACTAACAATATATTCGTCAATCCACAAAGAAAAATCTAAATCAATTGAGTAGTCATTGATTGATATGCATGAATCATGGATGCTCAACTATCTGTACTCGGAGCCTATTTTCCTTAAGAATGGATTGATTAAGGTGACAGAATGTAATTAAGAGACGAGAAGACAAAAGATTAATGAGAGAGTTTCGAGGTGGTCTTTCCAGAAATGTTAAACAAAAGTTTTTCCCTCGACACCAGTCCTCCATTTTGTCTCTGTGAATCGAGGAGAGAGGGGGAATTCTTAGATGAATCATATTCTTGTAAACCCTACTATTCTTTAAGAAAAAAATGATCATAAATCAGAGTTTCTTTCAGGAGAGAAGCTGCATTATCCAGATCGAAAAAAACATATTTATATCCTGTATTTTATCCATTCAATTTGAAAGACCCTACCTTATATCACCAAATCGTGACCGAGCTAAGCCTTTAGGTTGTTTAAGTATGTTGGGCTAAGTTAGGCAATGCAATGGAACTCAATCACTTAAAGAATTGGCCTTGGGGTTTGAAAGCCGAAGTAAGGAAATTCAAAGCACGGAATGGAGTCTAATGTTCAGGATTAAATGAATTTACTCTCTTGTAAGTTGGAAATGCTTTTAGCGCGTATTCAGACTTCCAAAATTTAGGAGGTTTTCGGTTTCACCTTTTCTCTTGGGCTTTATCTTTTTATGTAGTTTCAGATACAACTTGTACCAGCGCTCAAGAAGAAAGGAATTGAGGACAGGACTGATCCTGGATAGGGAAAGAAACCATAGAGTCCTAGACATATTCAAAATTAAAAAAAAAAAAAAATTAATTGA